GGGGGGGGAAATTCAGTTGGAAATGGGGAAGGAAGAGAAGGGTGCTTTGTTGGAAGCCCACGAGGTCCGTTTGGGCAGAGCTTGGGGCCGGCTGTGGGGCAGGAGCTGTTAGGGCTGCTTCCAACCCACCCTGCGGTCCGTTGTGTGCAAAAACGGGGAGGGGGCTGCTGCGGTGACCCATGGAACAGCCGTCACCGTGGGACCACGTTGTCCCAGAGCCTGCATCGAACTGTGGGGCTGTGGGGCAGGTTGGGCTGCTGACCCACAGGAAGAGCCCTGGTGCCGTGGGGTGACGATGAGAGGAGCCTCCTGCGGTCCCACAGCTCCAGCTGCTCTCCTCTTCTGCTGCTCCCGCATCGATCTGTGGATGCGTTTCAGCTTCTTAACCTTGACCTGATGTCACACGTGGCCAACAGCTCCCACCTCCCCACCGCAGCACGGGGGCCCCGCGGTGCCCACAGCACGACCCGGCTCTGCCCTGCCGCTCTCAGCGCCGCGAGCAGCCCTGCCAAACTCCGAGCTTCCACCTGTGGGGATTTGGGCTCTCCTTTGCTTTGCCCTTTCCTGGAAGCCGAGTTCTGTGCGTGTCTGCCTTCGGAGGAAGGATAAAAATCGCGGCGTTTGGGGTCGGGTTGGTTCAGGTCGCGCTTGAGGGCGCTGTGGCTCTGCGGGTGCTCGTGGGGACGCTGGGTTTGCTCACCTCTGCCTCCGTGTCACCGCTGGAGCTCACCCTGCGCCGCAAGGACTCACCCGCTGCAGAGCTGGGAATTGTGCGCAGCTCCGTCTATGCGTTCCGAGCTGCCCTTCCGGGGCTGTTTGCCTCCATTCCAATGGACGTTCCGTTGAATCCGTTGCTCCGTGCGAGGCTGGGATGGGAAGGAAGCTGCCAGAGGGACATTTTGGCACCGAGAGATGCAAACTGGGATGGATCCGGTCCCCTTCGTTGCAAAGCAGAACTTGGGAGCCTTCTCAAAGCACCCGCGTGCCAGAGCCCTGCGGCAGCCCGTGGGGACGGTCCGAAACTGCCGGCACCGCTCTGAGCCCGGAGCTCCATCTGCTTCCTCCCCTCCCGCTGCCCGCACGGCGCGGAGCCCCACGTCGGTTGCGGGCCGTCGGAGCGTCGCTGCCGGTCGAACAGCAGCGGGCGGTGCGTGCGGGATGGCGCTGAGGCCGCGCGTGGAGCAAACGGGGTCGGCGGCGGCACCGCGGAGCGAGCGGGGCTGGGGGCGGCCCTCAGCGAAGGCCGTCGTGCAGGAGGAAGGCTGCGAGGAGGAGGAGGAGGAGCGGCGCCGAGCAGATGCATCGAAACCAGGGCAGCTTTTCCTCCTCCCATCACAAAAGCTGGAGTGTGTGGGGCAGCCTGGAAGCCGGGCTGCGGGCATCCCAAGCTGTGGATTCGTGCCCAGCTCCAACCGACCTGCGCGGCAGATGTCGGAGCTGAGCGGTTTGGGATGGATTTGGGGGGGAGCTGAGAGAGGTGGGGACGCTGCTTTTGCCGCTCGTAGCCGGGATGGCAGCGCCCTGCAGAAGTGCAGAGGTTTCATTAACGAAGCACTGATTATTATTATTATTTCCTGGAGCGTTTCTCTGGGTTTTGGTGCTCTGGGGGCGCAGCCGGGCTGCTTTCTCCTCCCCGAGGGTCCCATCCGGCTGTCGGGATGCCTTCATTGCCGCAAAACTGCGTCTCCCACCACCGCGGTCGGGCGGAGGAGGAACGTGGAGCTGAGGATCTGCTTCCCCCTCCTGGAGATGTGCGAGAGGAGCGCAGAGCGCCGTGCCGGTGATGGGCGGCGCGGGGCGAATGGGCGACGTCGCATCCGTGCGTCTTTGCCACCCCCAAAATCGGACCGGGATTTTTTTGGGGGGGGGGGGAAGCTGTTGGGACCCGGTGCGGAACGCTTCCAGCTGTCGGGGTGGGGACGCGCTGCGCTGAGAGCTGCCGGATTCGGGTGCGATCTCAGCGTCCTCCCGGCGCTCGGTGTCCCCGTGCTGCGCTCCCAGGGATGGCGGAGCTGAGGGGCGGGGACGAGGCTTTGTCCCCATTGCGTTGGATCGGGACGGGGAGAAGCTCGCGGGTCCCCGCGGCGTCGCTGTCCCTGTTCTGTCAAGGGCCCAACGGCTTGCAGCCGTGCCGGGTTTTAACGAAGCCATGGCTGTCTGCTGCGCCGAGCTGTCGGCACGGAGGCGAGCGGGGATGTGGGGCAACGGGGAGCCCCCCCCCCCCCGGGCAGCCTGTGGAAATCCAAAGGGGGATCCGGTGCTCAGGACGGGGGTCCCGAGGTTGGGGTGCAGGGGAGGAGCAGCGGGGCTCTGCTGTTGCTCCCCGGGGGCAAAGCGTGGCTGTGACCCCCGGTGTCGTCACGGGGATCTCGGTGACCCCGCGCCCTCGTGCTGCCGTCGATCCCCTCCCCAGGTTAATTCCTTAATGAGGCCGGCGCTGTGGCAGGTGATGGTAATTGCGTTAATTGAAAGGTTGGGTCTGTAGTCTGCTGTGTGGGCGCTGCGCCCCGTCCTCGATCGGAGTCGGAGCGCTTTGAGTTTGGATAACAGCGGCTTGGAGCGGCCTAATCCCTTAATTAACAAATTAAAACAAGCCGACTGCCATCACCCTGCCCAGAGGAGCAGCACTGCTGCTGTCCCAGGCCGTATCCCCAGGGTTGGGGCTGGAGAACCTCCTGAGGACTGCGCTCGAGTGAGCTGGAGCCAAACTGGCTGCAGATGGAGGGAGGACGAGCGACGGCACCAATAAAGGCCCATGAGGATGGAGGTGGGAAGCAGAGGCCCTTCAGCAGCTGAAAACCCCAGCGAGTGCAGAGGAGCGGAGTTCCATCACTGCGATGTAGGAGCATCAGCAACCCAGGGACGGAGCCTTGAACCCTGGCAGTGGTTTTCCATCCAGATTTGGTGTCTTTGCAGTACTGAAGTTCTCGTGTGTTCCGAAGCTGCTGTGGGATTCACGCGCTTTCCAGCCTGGAGTTCATTGCGTCGTTAAGGTTGGAAAAGACCACTAAGATCCTCCAGTCCAACCATCGGCCCCCCTCCTCTGTGCCCACTTATAGGGTCGCTGTGGTTGGAAAAGAGCAACGAGGTCATTCAGCCCAAGCACCAACCTGTGTCCAACCACAGAGCCGTCAGCTCGACACCAGTCTGGGAAGCTCGGCGCCCTCGTCCCCCTGCCCTGCTCGGCCCTTTCCGTCCCTTCCTGCAACGGCTTTGTGGAATTTACAACGTCAGCAGAAGAAAACGTTTCCCTCCGTCGTTCTGGGCAGAAAATGGAGAAATTCAGTCTGCTTCTGCTAAGGGGAGCTGCTCCCAGCCAGCGAGAATCGCGCGGGGAAATGGGGCCGTGAAATGAGGATTGCTCACAGGGCAGCCTTGAGCTTGAGCCCTAAATACGAGTGCTGAGATGTAAGACAATGCTCTGCAGAGCCCCACATCCAGCATGGGATGGAGGTTGCGTCCGACCTCCAGGCTGGGCAAGCTGACATCTCCCTTCCCCGTGGGGCAGCACGGCGCGGCAGCCGTCCCAAAATAGCCGTCCTTGGGGCAGCTGGGGTTATGTGATCCTCCTGCTGCTCCTCTCTGCCCTTGGGCTGCTTGGCGGCGACGTCTGCGCGAAGGAAACGCGGGTTGGGAGGGATGTGCGGAGCTCAGGAGCCCGTAGGATGGATACGGGGCCCAAATTTGGGGGTGAGAGCCCGAGGCGCCCTCCCTGAGCTCTCCTCTCTTGCGTGCAGTGAGCCAACCCACGACGTCGGATGAGACGGTGGTGGCTGGTGGCACAGTGGTGCTCAAGTGCCAGGTGGAGGACCCTGACGACTCCTCGCTGCAGTGGTCCAACCCTGCCCAGCAGACCCTCTACTTTGGGGAGAAACGAGGTGTGTGCGCAGGGCGGGCAGAGGGGAGGTGGATTGGGAGCGAAGCTGGTCGTCCGTCCCCACCTATGGGGAGCGCGGCGGCGTTTTCGCTCACCCCTCGTCCCCTTGTCGTCCCCCAGCCCTACGAGACAACAGGATCCAGCTGGAGAGGTCCACACCCAACGAACTGACCATCAGCATCAGCGACGTGGTGCTGTCGGATGAGGGGGAATACACCTGCTCCATCTTCACCATGCCCGTGCGGACCGCCAAGGCCCTCGTCACCGTGCTGGGTGAGCAAAGGCCCCCACCGACCTCCTCTCTGCGTCCGCCCCGTGCGCAGGATGCCCCCCATGTGGCCTTTTAGCTCTTCTATCCCACATCCCCGCCCTGTAACGCATCCTCGCCATCGAATCATTAAGGTTGGAGAAGAGCCATCGAGGCCAACCGTCAACCCGTTCCCACCCATGGAATCATTGGGGTTGGAAAAGACCCCCGGGGTCATGGAGTCCAACCTTCAACCCGTCTCGTGTCTCTTCACCTCCAGTCAGCAGCACACGCAGAGCTGACGGGTCGTTGTCTTTCTCACCTCTTCCTCTCCCAGGAATCCCTCAGAAACCCCAAATCTTTGGCCACGAGCAGCCCATCGACGAGGAGAAAATCGCCCGGCTCACGTGCCGATCCTCCGGCAGCAAACCTGCAGCGCAGCTCCGGTGGAAGAAGGGCAACAAAGAGCTGAAGGGTGGGTGATGGGGGCTGGGGGCACCGTGGGGGCACCGTGGGGGCACCATGGGGGTGCTGAGGTTTGCCCAGTGCCGGACCACCCCAGCTGCCCCATCCCACTCTCCTGCCAACAACGGGATGTGGCTGGGCGTCCTCTGCTCAGCATCGGCCCCAACCCTCTGTGGGGACGTTGTGAGCGTCACCCCCCAACACCCCCCTGTCCCCACAGCTGAGGGCACCGAGGTGGTGGAGGACTCGAATGGGAAGACCTTCACCGTCAGCAGCCGGGTGGAATTCCGTGTCACCAAGGAGGACAACGACGCCGAGGTGACCTGCACCGTGGACCACGAGTCCTTGCAGAACTCCGAGAGGTCAACCACACAGAAGCTGCAGGTCCACTGTACGTGGCGTGAAGGGACCGGAGGCCACCTGGGGAAGGGGATGGGGCCAAAGAGAGGTGGGAGAGGCGGGGGGGGACCTCGCAGTCACCGCACGTGGCCCTGTGTCCGCACCAATGTGGGTCCGATGTGGGGGATGCTGCGCGGTGTCGCCTCCCCTGCCCATCCCTGCCCCCTGGGACCTCCCTGTCCCCATCATCCCGTGCCCCTCTTGTCTCCATCTCCCCCAGTCCCACCTCGGGGGCAGGATGGGGGATGTGGGAGCTGATCACCCGTGGACGCTCTCACACCGCACCCCCAGCGTGATGGTGGGGGGGGGATATGGGGCAGGGTTTGGGGTGCCAGCTATGGGGACGGGGCAGCTCTCTCACCCCACTGCTCCCCTTCCAGACAAACCAACAGCGAAGATCGAACCGCACCCGCAGTACCCAAGGGAAGGAGAGAAGCTGCAACTGCAGTGTGACGGGCAAGGCAACCCCGTGTAAGGACCCCCAGCTCTCCCCACCGCCCCCTTCCCACCCATCCACACGCCCCAAATCGCTGCTTACCCCTCCGTGGGGCTGGGGGTCTCAGCTCTAAGCTGAGATGCGGGCTCCCATCTGCGCTGCCCCGCAGAGGGTGATTTCCTCCCCCCGCAGCACCGAATAACAGATCACAGAAAGATGGAATGAGTTTGGGTTGGGGGGGGGCCTTGATGACCGCCTCGGGTGGCTGCAGCCCCTCTCCTCCACCCCCCGCGATGCTGTGGGGGCGACGCAGCGGTGCCTGAGCCCATCCCACCCCGCAGCCCCCAGGAGTTCCTATGGGAGAAGGAGGGCAGCGACGCCCCGCTGCAGCTGAGCTCCGACAGCATCCTCATCTTCCCCTTCCTCAACAAGAGCGACAGCGGCACCTACATCTGCACGGCCACCAGCTCCATGGGCAGCGTCATCGCCAAGTACAACCTGGACGTCAGCGGTACGGCGGTGGGGTGAGGAGGGGGAGGGGGGGGGGGTCGTTGTGGGGGCACGGCCCGCTTCGGCCCCACGGCTTGGAGCATCCCCTGCTGCATCCAGGCTGTGCCTGCGCCGCGCCGAGCTGTTGGGGTGCAGAGCTGAGCTCCCATTGCTGCCTCCTGCTGCCCTGGCCGCGCTCTGCTCGCTGTCGCCATGCCCCACTGCGCTGTGTCTCCCCCTGCCTCGTGGGGCAGCTCTTTTCCTGAGCTTCTAGATCTGGATTTGGGGTCGTCCTCCTTTTCTCCATCATCCTCTCCTCGCTCTCCACCAGCTTTGGGCTTTTCCATCTTCCAGCACCCCTCCTGCTCTGGCTTTTCCCCTTCCCTCCCCTCTTGTTTTCTTGCCCCCAACCCCTTCCTTCCCCTTTGAAACGGCTGTGGCTGACAGGAGCGCATGGCAGCGATGCGTCCCACCCCACACGATCCATCCTCAGCAGCCCCCTGCCTTTGCCCACCCCGTGTCCCCATCACCCCTGGTGCAGGGTCCCACTCCTGCACCCACCCATTGCCCACCCACCATCCCCCAGGATGCCCTGTGCCCCCCACTCCGCTCCATTGCCC